CCCCGGTTCTAGCCTTTCCAGACCTAACCCGACCATTCGAGTTAAGCACAGACGCCTCTGACACCGGTTTTGGTCGTATTCTATCACAACGTGACAACTACGGAAGAGAACGACCAGTACATTATGTCTCCAAAACATTTACTAACAGTGAACTCTCGTGGCACACCAGAGATAAAGAAGCATTCGCTTTCATATATACGCGCTACGAAAATTCAGACACTACCTTCTTGGGAGGAAGTTCACATGGTATACTGATCATCGCTGACTTCGCTGGCTACGAAACACAAAGGATCCAAGGGGTCGGTATGCACGATGGATAGAAGAGATAGAAGAATTTGACTTTGACATTTTTTACAGACCTGGCCAAGACAATCCACATACTGACGCTCTATCCAGAAGGCCAGAGGTGCAGTGTGCTGCTGCGGTACGCTTGGACACTGGTTTCTCGGTCGGAGATATCCGCAAACAGCAAGCAACAGACCCGGTCCTCGGGGAAGTCATCCAGCATCTCAGGCTAGGAGAGAGGAGTAAGCAAGTGAAGTCAAAACCCGAGGTGACATGGTGGATGAAGTGAAAGGACAGTCTGTTCCTCGACAGCCGAGGAATACTTTGCATTAAGTTTCGTYGTGGAAGGAAACTAATGAACCAATTAGTAGTACCCGAAGGCCTCGTTYCTGAAGTTCTACGGCTCAAGCACGATGACTCAGGCCACATGTCTGCCATGAAGACAAAGAAACTGATCCTTAGGGAGTACTACTGTGCCAAGGGGCACAGCTCGGACAGTACAATTACAAGCCAACCCTGCGAACCATGGCAAGAAATYTCACTGGACCTCAAGGGGCCGTTTGGAACACAGCCTACGCGAAAAGGAAATAGATATTTACTCGTTGMRGTGGACTTGTTCACASKGGCTGCAGAGATGGTTCCAATCCCCAATAAGACAGCAAAGTCAGTCGCMGATGCACTAATTACAGAAGTCTTCTGTCGACACAGACTGCCAGAATCTATCTTGACAGATAAAGGACTAGAATTTGATAACTCCGCTATGGTTGTCCTCGCTCAAGAGTTGGGCTTCGACAAGAAAAGAATAAGTGCATTACATCCCCAAGCAAATGGTGCTGTTGAGAGACTGAATAGGACGATCGGTCAAATGCTAAAGAAGGAACTGGACGACAGCGACCGTGAGTGGGACCTCAAGATACCCTATGTACGTTTCAACTACACTAACCAGGTACATTCCTCACCTGGACAGTCTCCATTTTTCATGATGCATGGGAGGCACCCGCGGACGCCGGCTCTGGTGGAAGCAAGCACCCTACGCAAACCTTCATCACCACCACAGTGGGCTAGTGAGCTCGCGAGAACTCTAAAGGAAGCTCACTCTGCTTGAGTTGCTTGTGATATACGATTGAAAGAAAAAAGATGTGAAGGTGCAAAGCAACCCGTGAAAAGGTTTCACATCGGCGATGAGGTATTGATGTTTTCTCCTCAAAAGAGCGGACAAGTGAAGTCTCTCCATAAAGCCTGGAAAGGACCTTTTCATCGTTATACAGCAACGACAAGGAAACACGTACCGAGTGAAAAATGCTCAGAACTTCAGACAGAGGTTCATCCGCCACTGCGACCAGCTGCGGCCTATTTATAAACGCCCCGCAAGACTTAATGGCGAATCTGAGAACAAGCCATTGACTGGTGACAGTGTCCAAAGAACTGACACACCCCGACAAACCAGTGGGCCAATAGCGTTTGATGCAGAGTTCATCGAAGGGAGCGACGAAGAAGAAGATGGAGCAACTGTGCCAGCAAGGGAGGAAGTGCAGCTTCCAGCAGAGCAAGATGGCCTACGACGAAGCCAACGACCAAGGCGTGTGCCTCAACGCTATGGAGAATGGGTCGACTCATTAGGAGTTGCACCTTTATATAGTGACATTCTAAAATGTGGACTGAAAACTTATTCATTGTAAGGGGGGAAGAGTGTAATGGTCAGCGGTCGTTTGTGCTGAGCCGGTCAGCGGTCGGTGGGAAACGTTTAGACTACGTTTTTGTGTATGTTTTTTGTAAGGAATGATCAYGAGTTTCGTGGAAGTATTCAAGGAAATAAAGTTGAGTTAACAAGAATTTACACTATGTTAAAACCTTACAAACTCAGCATGGATTATATAATGTTTTTACTCATTGGTCAGAAAATTGATTGGTGAAGTAAAGAAATGTGGTTTTGACACCAACTTCCAACATTGAAAAGTCCACTTTTTCATTGTTTCTTTTTTTTTCACAGTTTCTGATTATTTTTTCCACTTATCCCAACACAGCTTCTGAGATGGTTTTCTCTTTAAACCCTGCTTCAGAACAGGTGTTATATTTTTGCTCAAGTTGAATTCTGGGAAAAAACATTCGTGGCACCAACAACCTTCCCCTCTATATTCAAACAGACATTTTTAACAATTAAAAAAAGCCTTGGAATTCTGGTTAAACTTCGGGCTGGTTGTGTTCTTTGATAGCCGCCAAACCTTACTGTCATTGAATGGAAGGTCCAAGAATTTGCCRTTAAAAAGTCTTTTATGTGAATCTCTTTAAGGTGGCTTCCTATARGTTTTTTTTTTACCATACATGTACCTCTCCTTTTAAATTTGCTTTTTGRAAATCTTGCCAGGCACTGATTTATTTGGTGTTTGGACCAGTAATAAAGCATCGATCAAAGTTTTGTTTTTATATATTATACTGATTGTCATTGGTTATTGGAATGGCTTTAAGGGTGTTGATATTCACCGACTAAATGATTATTAAATGAGCCTTAGATGGTCCAAAAACACTTTATGCCTTAGAAAATCAACATTGATAATTATATAATTTATGTCAAAAAAAAATGATAAACAAACACAAAACAAACAAAAACAAAGAAGAAGCAACAACATAGTATTAAAAATCAYGTTCAGTTTAAAGTAAATTAGTTACCTGTAATTCGTAAGCACAGTATACAATGAGGTACAGACCAGTCCAACATGAATTCATCATACAGTCTCACTGCATATGCTATGTGAAGATACACCTGTCAACATAAAGTGGAGTCTGTTGAAAAGACTATTGTCATCTCTCGATCATGTCTGGTTGGATTGTCAGGTTTATAGGGAATAAATGAGGCAAGACKGGTAATATAAATCTCTAGAGTGACTAGTGATAAATTCAAATTTTTTACATAAAAAATACTAATAAGGATGATCTTTTAATCAGACTTAAAAAACTTAATGAGCTTACAGACTTACAGACAATTTCCCCTCGTGGTCCCCCATTTCCAATGTTGGTCTCCAAACAAAACGATCCTTTCATACCGAAACATTCCCGCCAACAACACTGACAACCAACATTGACTGTGGGTGTAGGGGGKAGGGCTTGAGTGAGGATTTAAACAGCCCATAAGAGAGCACATCTTCTAGAGCACAGTAATAGTGCTCTGTCCCATTTAATTTTGCCCATGATTGTCTGAGTTGAACCCAAATATTTTTTGCCAGGAATTCAAAGTCTAAAACATGCCCACCGTATTTCTTACTGTATTTCTAAGACCAATGCGTAATTTTCTCTATGAGTAGGGAATTATGCGTTGAATAAAGTGCAAAAAATGCATGTTCAAATCCCATCAAATAAATATTACGAGGTCCTAAAGTACATGATATAGCCTAAACATAAAACAAATGAAAATGTTCATCACACCATATGAATGTAATGAGATTATTGACTATAGACTGCACTATCAATGCTCAGACCATTACTTAAATACTTAAATGTCTTTCTTTGGGCTCATTTCATTGTTCAATTGAATTGATATGATTCTATATCAGTGCAAACATATTCTATAATGTCCATATGATCATTTCAAGATMGCAATATGAAAACATTAGCAATAATTGACAGTACTCAGTTACTGTACATGTAAGTCTGTTTAATAATGTTAGACTTAAGGTTAAGGTTTTCTTCAGTGTCCAGGGTGAGTACTGTTGAAAAATTGACGTTTGACCCTCTAATCCTGACGTATTTGGGCATAAGTTGAGCACTTTATATCCATGCTATGGTTATGCACTAAAGTGGCATCATAATTAATTATATTACAGGCATAAAACATATATTTAAAGGTGAGTACTGATGCCCAGTATTGTCAGTTAGATTGACTTTGACCTTTCTGTGACGTCATGAGTATCAAGAATAAGTTTTGAATATTCTAGGGTAAAGTGGTACGYCCACCATGCTCGCGTGGGAATTTGAGGATCAATAGGACACATATGTTACCCTGTTGTGTATATTTTGAAACTTTAACATGCATTTCAGATGTCTTTAAACGTCTTTGATTGAAGTGTTTTTATAGGTTTTTAAAAGATTTGTTAAATTCACCAGGCGTATTTGGTTACATGCATGAACCTTTGTATCTGAAAAAGGTCATCCTTGTTAAGTTATTACTTTTAAATAGCTCACTTTGAAATATTTAATTGCCCTATGCATAGTCACACGTGATTACAGTGTTTGATTGGTTATTAATTTGTAGATATCATGTATCAGTTGTAGTTCAAGAGTACACGTGTTAATAGCGGAGCTCCCGCGCGGGAGCACATAGCTAAGAAAAAATGGTATACCATCGAGTCGATTTTCCATGGACTGACACAGGGTTCCCGCGCGTACGCACGTTTCCTTCCGTCCTGGATTCCGCGTACCACCACAGGAAACCCATGCTCCGCTCGAAAAGGAAACAAAGCGCCAAGTATTTGTTGAAAAATCGAATTTTTTTCCTTAAACATTTATATTACATATTGATAATATTAGAACAATTAATAACAAGGAAAAAATCCACTGAAGAG